AAACGTATATAGGTATATCATAATTGAGATCCATTTGGTCGTGGGAATCATTAAAGCGCGCGCCACATCGAAACGTAGATATCGAATGACACGGAACGAAGTAAGCCGCGGCTGCACCGGTCGAGGGGTTGGTATCTCGTGCCGTGGAGAACTTTTCCTTCTCTCTCTCTCTCTCTCTCTCTCTCTCTCTCTCTCTCTTCGTGAGCGAGGTCGCACGAAGCATTTGTCCTCAAACTTTGCGCCGTGTCGATCCTGATAAAAAGTCTCGGAACACACTTCGTTTGTAGCGAGCTTGGTTGCTCACTAAACGTTGAATGTCGTGAGAAAAGGGCGCTGCATATTTCTTTTTCCTTGCGCTATCGCGGGAAAACCATCGTTCGCATGAAGAAAAGGAGGAAGGAACGGAGGCGGAAAGTGGGATCGTTTAGATTCTGAAATTTTTTTAGGCAAAAAGAGAGAGAGAGAGAGAGAGAGAGAATTTATTTTCTTCTCTACAGACGAAAGAAATCGTTGAAAGTCACCTCAGAGAAATTATCATTCGCTTGAAAATTAGTTTCTGAATCACAACCGCTGGACACTTTCTACTTAGACAGAAAGCGTAACCTCGTTCCTAATCGAAAACACCGCGCGACATTGCACACACGCGCCGGACATCGTAAGCGAGAAGGAACGTAATTCACGACGTGAATTTTGTGACAGCGTTATTTTGTTTCGTTTCGTAATTCAATAATTGATATTAAATTTCTATCGCTAACGTTGAACTTCTATTTATCCAATTATTCTCTTTTACGCGTACGTAGTTTCATTGCACATACGTATATTTATTGGCCTCTTGTTGCGAAATGATATCTTTGGTTTAATGGGAGATCATGCCCTGTTTGTTTTACGTGTGTTACGCCCCTAGGGCTCATAATATGCCTCCAATCATCGCGTTTACGCTGAACCATGAAGTACCAGTGTGATAACCCCCCGTTGCCCGAGTTGATAACAAACCATCGGTGGAATCATACCGAGCTGAACTTTCATACTTTATCAGAGAGCCTATATAAGTTATCGGAGAAAAATAACTAATGGAATAATATAGGAGCAAGGAACGTTTCTCTGATCTTAGGTACCTGCACGTAGATAATCGATCGTTATATATAACCGTCTCGATCTATAATGGAAATATGTGTATCCTATCTTTAAGATTCGGTCACTGTCATTTGTTTCGTTATACTTCAACAGTAGTAGCATTCGATTATTCGTCAGCCGCGTCTGACTGAGCGTACGGTCGTTCTACTGCTCCTCGACTACTCGAGACAGAAAGAAATATGGAGAAACGTACTTTGATTTAATCGTACGTCAAGCGCGTGAAATCGTTTGTAAAGCGGTGGTTCCGTGATGAAGAAAGAAATACGATTAGGTTGTAATATAAATGCGGGCTCGCACGCCTATCAAACTCAGACGGTTTCGTGCTGGTTCAGTTCTTTATTCGTACTACTTTGACTTTTCTTCTCCACGGTGGTTCCATTCGCCTCCCTTTCTTTCTCCCATTTCTCCCCTCGTTTGCCCCTCTCAACCCTAGCTTCCGTTGTATCCCTCATTCCATCCTACACTTGTTGCTTCGTCACGAAATCAACTTGTCCGAAATTTTCAGCCCCGTCGCGGATTACTCTGCCCCGCGAGCGAACGCAGAAATCCGGATAATTTTTTCATAATCTCGCGTTTCGACGCGATATTTTCGAAAGGATCGAAGCGTACTGTACAAAGAGGGAAATTTAGAGAGACAGACACATACGTGTTCAATAAACGTTCTATCTTTCACGTTTAACTTATTTAAAATTCAACCGTACGTGAAAACATTGAATTTTTTTTTTTTTCATAATTAGATCGATTGTTATTTTGAAGAATGAAGTTTCTCCTTTTGAAACTTGGCTGTACAATTTTTTTTCACCATTTTATTGAACGCGGAACATTCGAAAATTCAAGAAAATCCTAACATCTCGTCATCTAACTTTAACCAGTTCCAAGTTCAATAAAACGGCGAAAAGAAGATCGTGCAGCGAGTTTCAAGGTGTCGTAAAAAGAAAATTTCATCCTCGAGACCGCGGCATAGTTTTTAATTTTTTAACGCATTTGAGAGAAAAGTATCCTCATTTCCCCGTTCGCTATCACCTTCAAAATCATCTTAAAAACGAACTCACGATCATGTCAAAGAATCAAGGCTTCACACTTTAACCTCTTGCGCTGGAATGACGCACGTCGAGAATTTTTCGTCCCAAAAATTGCAATATATTTTCTCAGTTTTTAGTGTATATCTAAGTATAATTTCAGTATATATCTAATATATTGTAGCATAACATGTTATAATAAGTAAAATTATATATTTAAGTAAAACAAAATATGCGAGACGTAATAAATTTATTATTTCTCAATAATTTCTATCCAGTGATATCGTACCGACGAGCTCAAAATGAAAGCGACGAATTACTGTATACGGTTTGGACACTCGTTATGGTCCGCAATCAATTGCAAGCGCAAGTGGTTAAGGATACTTATAAGTAGTGTCTGTTTCTGACACTGTAGAAAATTTTATTTTATTTAAAAGTTAATACAGCCTTAATCTGTAATATAATTTAACAATAAACACACTAGATGTCAATGTATTTAACTAGAATATAGGTTATATTAGGCATAACATAGGTTATGTTACAACACATTATATATTATATATTGTAGCATAACATGTTATAATAAGTAAAATTATATATTTAAGTAAAACAAAATAGGCGAAATTAGTAATAAATTTATTACTTCTCAACAATTTCTCTCACAAAGGTGTTCAAAAAGAAAGCGACGAATTGTTGTGTACGATTTGGTCACTCGTTATGGTCCGCAGTTAGTTGCCAGTCAGCGCAAGTGGTTAACAATACGGTTTAAAAGCTTCACTCCCAATTGACTTGTATTGTTAGATATTTCTACCTCTCGATGAACATCGTTTAAATGATTACTCATTACAAATTCACGAAATGAAAGTTATAATTACCATCACTGTACATTCAAAGATACAACATTATAATTTAATTCGCTCCAAGTAATTAATGCTGTCCTAGTTTCGCGTGTAACACTCTGGTATCTGTATCACACACCGTAAATGAAATCTTCTTACTCGATTATGCTATTTACCGTCAATTCTACAATTCGAGATAACGTAATGTAAATTGTACGTACTCTCTGTATTGGATTCGCTAACGATGTAGATCCGCACGACGCGAAACCAATAAATAAATAGATTTTTGAATGTCACTGTTGCCTCGGGAAATTAATAAGTCGATGCACGATATGTAGTCGTAACCGTGCGTAATTATTTAGCTGGTACAGCAGAAAAGGAACGATAGGTCGATGCACGACAGAGGTGCGCTATATTAAATGCGTACACTAACTACCGTGGGCTACGTGATGAAGCATTCCATTGCACATGACTTAACATCACGACGATCGTCGACAGTTTCATAGAGGGAATTTCATAGCTCTCCATTAGCTCCTTTGCCAGCATGATAATAGCTCTTTGATTACAGAGACGCAAATGCATTTAGCCCAGCGTATTCCTACAGGCTAGTTCACAAGACTCGATACGACCAACCGCACCACCAATGACTAATCATTCCTCCAATTTTTCTGCTTCGTTCCGTGTTCCGCCACGATTAATTCGTTTCTCTCACCCCCGTTAAAAAGGTCTTTTTGGACATTTACATACATACATACATCGTTTTGAAACTTTTCAATTATTATCATTCTGTGTGAAATTTCGTTCTTGGAGGGAATTGAATATTATTATTATTATTATTATTATTATCATTCGTGCATGTTTTAATGTTTCACCGTTTTGTCGCATATTTTTATGGTTTGTTCCACGTTTGCCACGATTCAGTTATATTAGTATTTGCCATTTCTTTTACCTCGTTCTATTTTCCATCCTCTCTTACAAAGAGGTCTTTTTGAAACGTACGTGCATCATTTGCCATTTCAATTATCATTATTATGTATTATTATGCAAACTTTACTTCTGAGAATATCATCATTATTATGTATTATTATGCAAACTTTACTTCTGAG